ATCTAAAAATGCAGCTGGAGGCTCAATATTGGTTTCATGCCTGGCCCAACCCAAGTACCACACCATTGTCATAATATGCGCACAACAACCTACAGTGCGACGTCCTACAATGCAGTTACAGCAATACTCTACAATGCCTTCTCGTCCATCAACACCATTTGCAATCAAAATGTACACATAGTACTGACGTCTTGAGATATGTCTAGACTTTATTTTTCCTTTTATAAGTGAATTTTCCCCACTGCCTAACTCAGGTATATTATTAGTATCCTGACAAACTTCTATCCTGTATCCGCCATGGAAACGTACGTGTTCACCATAATATGAACGCGCTTGGCGAATTTGGTACGTTCCCAAGGCGAATAATATTAATTCACTGTATTCTAGACGGGGAAACTCAATATTAGCAGTATCAGCTGTAATACTTTGAAAAAAGGATGCCCGGCGATTTAAATTATATTCTGTAACTATATTAATTAAGTTATTTTCCAAGGGCATCCTTTCATTTATTATACCAAGAATTTGAGCAGCATCAGCTCTATTGCGAAGACGAACACCAAACTTATTTATTAAACTTGCAGCAATTTGGAAATAAGCCATCATATTTGGTACAGTTTTATTAAAATTGTCAAACCTTAATAATCTAAAATCTCTTTTAAAATATCCATTTACAACCTCCACCACCCATCTGCAAATAGTTACACATCTACTTCTATTTGCTTGGGTGGTGGTTAACTGGTGTTCACCTTCCAAAAGTGACTCTGGCATATATGCCTTATAATTACAATGCTCCAATAAGCTGATGCTGTCTCTGAATCCCATGTCTAAAATAAATATGTCATTATCTTGAAAGTATTGTCTCAGTGGGGAATTTTCGTTGCTGAACAAAGAAGATATTATATCGGCATCAGATGTGGTAGCTTTGTATGGGCCAAAACAATCTAAAATGTAACCGTCACAGGCAACTATTAAAAATGGCTTTAACAGATTTCTATATTTGTGTAAAGAATATGTGTCTTTTTGAAACATATAATTGCCACTTTTATTTAAAAAAAATGTATGTTCCATCACACATCACAATACATTGTTTATTATTTTCATTGTAAATTCCATTCGGAATGATTAGATTGTGTTCTATTAATTGTTCTCTCGGCAAGTGATTTATTCCAAGGTTACATGGAACAAAATCCTGTAGCAGTACCTCTCGTGCTGTTTGCATTAACCTCTCTAGTGTAGTACGAGGAACTTCTAGCAATGTTGATATTCTTAAGTCGGAATCACCTGTCCGCATCTTTATCAATACAGCAGCTAGACCTACGCCAGACATACACCCCTATGTTTTTCCAACAGTCGGGGAAGGTCTTCTAACAAATTAAGGAATTTCAATTTTGACAAGCCAATCCAAAATTCAAATAAATTGTCGTCAATTTCTTGTAATGATTCTATGCTTGAAAAATCGAGAAAATGCTTGTATTTTTGAACAAAGGAAAAAACATGCTCAACTTGTTCAACAGTGAAATCGCTCATGCTGTTTTCACTGGTATAAAGGGAACTCCAACTGTTTCCATGTAAATGGTATGTGCATACTCTTGCCAGTTTGGGAATATAAAAATTGTAGTTGCACAAAATGGTAGCCCGCAGTGCATCTGACACAGTATGCAGATTTTCATTTTCACACCCATAAAATGCACAATGAGATGCTGTATTGGGAGCACGTTTATAATTATGTAATGTAATGTTACTTGATTGTTGGGTTTGAGATTGTAGCGAATGAACCTCTGGAGCTGCAACTGATTCTACAGACGAATCCCTTTCATCTGTACTTGCAAGAAACGGGGGGAGGTTGTAATTCTGGAACATGAACTGCATCAACAGGCTGTTCCACTTCTTCTTGACCGTGAGGAGTCTCATCACCTTCTAAGCCTCTTCTTTCATCCTGTTGTTGAGTTAAAAGAGCTTGTCTTTTAAACCTCAACCAACAGGCATGACATACACGATCATATTGTGATATCTGTCAACAAAAAAACAACATATTTGTAATAAATGCAGTGACATACCTAGTAATGTCATAGATTAGAATGTGAAGTTTAATGAAAAAAATTGCATGCAGTTTAAAATGAGATTGAATATTTAAATACAAACCTGACGAGGTGCTACAGTAGCTCGAATTAAGTTGATCATTCTTAGTGTGAGGCTTGATGGGTTTTCTTTTGTGAATATGGTCACTTTGACGATTGAGCAATGATCGACCACAAACGGGGCACACTTGAGTATGACCAAGGCGAGATGAACAAGCAGATGGATGACACTCATTGTTTCCATGAATTTGAGCATTAATAGACTGCATGGATACATCAAAGCACGCTTCACAAATGTAGTCCTCTTCCGTAATCTGAAAAATAAATCAATTATGAGATTATAAAGCATAAATTGAAATAGGCACATTTAATTTGTATTTTTACATGTTTTATTTTTTATTTTAGACAACTGTCCTAAAGGACACTTTAGCTAAACATGGGTAAAATCTTACTACTACTATTGTATTGTTGTATGTTATATGTTGTATGTTATTACTACTTACTATTACTGGAGATATCCAAGTGCTAATTAGCGAGATGACTCTGCTATCAAGCTGAAGGGCCCGATAACGCTGAAGCGTATTAATACATATGTTACAGTTTATACATAGCATTCTCGTAGAAGGCTCCATAACGCTTTCCAACAAGTACGATAACGTCTTAGATCCCAATCAAAAAGCTAAATCGGTATCCGTATTACACAGGCCAAAGTAATCGTGAGTGGAAGGTATCGAAGTCCGTGGAAAATGCAAGTTGTAAGGGTATCAGAAAATCCAAAATCGCACAGTACAAAACGTAGGGAAAGCTAACGAACGACTGCAAAACTTCAAACAAATGACGGACTGTCATTGACAAACACGTTTTTTTAAATATGTTTTGGCATGGCTTCTGGGCCTTTAAGTCATTGTAGAACTCGTTCCGTCTCCAAAAGTCTATTGAAAGTGATAAACATATTAACATTACTCTTTTTCCTGGCTTTATTAGAAAATTCAATTATGCGATTCGAAATAAGCAAAAAAAAGAGCAATTTTATAAGATATTTTACATCACTAGACGCTTTCGAAAATTTTCAGGTCAGAATTGGACATGATTCTTTAGCTTTGATTTTTCATGAACATAAATAAACGAAATTGAATTAAATAACACATTTATAAAGGTTCAGAGCAGAATCCTAAACTAAAGAAATTTATTTCTTACGATAGAATTGTTGTACGCGTAAAACGAGTCTTACACTACGCAGATACGCTACGATATCTGTACGAGTATCTAAGCGCATATCTTTCAATATTGCTCTTTATGAAATTCAATGGAATAACACACAGAGTGCAGATAATTTATATATTTATGTACTGGATGATCTTTTTTAAAGTCTAGAAAAAATAGGGTGTAACATGTGAACGGAGTAGAAGACTATATGCACTGATATTTTACAAAAACTAAAGACAAAATTTTTGAAGGAAATAAATTAATTATCAAAAGTCAAATCTCATATATATATATATATGTAGGAATGGAACGTAAGGGAATGGAGTGAAAAGGAACGTAAGTGTGTGAGAAGGAGGACGTGAGGTGCGAGAGGGATGGGGGAGAAGGTTTTTGTTTTTGGGAACGAGGAACGGAAGCGTGGATGACTTTAGTGCATTAATTAATTAAAAAGGTGTTAAACAGTGAAAATAAAACAAACTATTCATTATTCTCGATTTTCATTAAGAGGTCTACCAAAATCCCACATAATTTTGGTGTCAGAAGTGGGATAGCCTCAAAATAATCGAGTCTCAAGTTACGACGGCAAGTGGTCACGGCGCGCAGCGGTACCGGCGCGCAGCGGTACCGGCGCAAGGCGGCGACGGTGCAGCACATTAATATAAGAAGGTGGTTCTCCAATGGGAGAAAATAACGACGTTAACGAAGTTAAGAAGACTACAGCTCAAGACGCGCTGCTAGAAAAGGCTGTAAAAGATTCACAAGACGTAAAAATGGCGGCGAAAAGCTTTTCAAGCATGGTGGACAGCATCGCGAAGTTTAGCGGTGATGACAAGACTTATTCCTCAACAAAGTGGACTCAGGACATCGAAGACAATAAGGAGGTTTTTAGCTGGACAAATCAGCAATCATTAATAGGAGCGAGAAGATCCTTGATAGGCACGGCTGAACTGTGGCTACGATCAGAAAAAGTTTTTAAGACGTTCGAAGAGCTCAAAACAGCACTGCAGAAAGAATTCCCTGACTCACTTAACGCAAAAGAGACGCACGATTTAATGGCGTCGCGCAAGAAACAGCGGGACGAAACTTGTTATCAGTATATGTTGATTATGAAGGAACTGGGCAAAAGAGCTAAATTCCCAGACTACGTCTCGATCCAGTACATCGTGGACGGCATCGTAGATCAAGAAGTAAACAAGGTCATGTATAGAATTACATCATATTCAGTGTTAAAAGAAAAACTCGTTTGTTATGAAAAAATGAAGACGAAGATCGTTCCTGAAAAACGAAGAAAGTCATCCATATCATATCCATCGACTTCATCGTCGGGTTCAGTAAGTGGGCAGCAACCTAATAATAATAAAAGATGTTATAAGTGCGATGATCCAAGTCATATTTCAACAGCGTGTACGAATGGAACGAAATGCTTCCGGTGTAATAAGTTCGGCCATATTGGTACACAGTGCCCGAACGAGCAGAGCAGCGGCGTTGCAAACATGAGCGAATCGTCGGGTAAGCAGTTTCGCGAGTATCGCGTAAGCGGCCCGGTGGAGAAAAGGAGACAGCAAATGTCGGTAAAGCAGAGTACGGCGGAAGCGCAACGACAATCAGCCATGTTCGGACTTTCGGTCAATAGAAGAGCGGACACTGCGGGCAGCCATGATAGCTGCAATATGGCGAACGAGAACGACGACTGGCAAGATGAAAACAAACACGAAAAGCAACAAAATACGCCGGTTAAATTAATTAAGTAGTGCGGAATGGACATGGACGCGTTAATCGATACGGGCAGTCAAATTAATCTGATGGCAAGTGACGTGTATAATGAACTGAACGTGGACAAGTGCGTCGATAACACGATTTTAGCGGGATTCGGACTGTCAAAAATAAAATCGTGTGGAAATTTTTACGAAGATGTTACGACGGGGGTTATTTTTCACATCGTACTTAAAGACTGTATAAAGCGATTTTAGGTCAGGAATTTCTAAAAAATGTTGTCATGGTTATGCGCGAGGGTTCCGTCTTGTTGTTACCTGAAGGTGAGAAATGGTTGACGAGAGTGAATTGTTGTGTGAGTGAGGTTGATATTGCAGGTCACATCCACGACGATGGCATTAAGGCAGAGGTGGAGCAGCTCGTGACGCAGTATAACCCGGTCCAGACGAAAGAGGCGCCTATCGAGCTCTTTAAATTTCTTATACTTAAAGATGATATCCCAGTGGCGCAGCGCCCAAGAAGATTTGCCTTGATGGAACAGAAAATAGTGGAGGATTAGGTAGACGAGTTGTTACGCAAAGGAATTGTTCAGGTGAGTTTCTCTGATTATACTAGCCCTGTAGTCCTTGTAAAGAAAAAATGGTTCAACTGGAGTATGCATTGACTATAGGCAGTTGAATAAAAAGATGGTTAGGGGTGAATTTCCCTTACCATTGATCGAGGACCTAATTGATAAGTTGAAAGATGCTAAGGTGTTCAGTGTCCTAGATCTTAAAAATGGTTTCTTCCATTTAAGAATGAACAAGGAGTCCATACCCTTCACATCGTTTGTCACGCATCATGGGCAGTGGGAATTTCTTAGAGCACCATTTGGTCCCTCCGCATCGCCGAAGTACTTCATGAGGTTCATCACCATCATATTTAGGGACTTGATACAAGGTGTATGATATTCATAGACGATATTGTTATTCCAGCGCAGACGGAGGAAGATGCTGTACAGAGATTAAGACGAGTGCTGGAGGTGGCTGCTGAGTACGGGCTTGAAATCAACTGGAAGAAGGCGAGGCTGATACACCACGAGATTGAATACTTGGGACATCTGGTCAAAGACGGGCAGGTACAACCCAGTCCGGATAAGATTGAAGCAGTCGCACAATACCCCGAGCCTGTGAATGTCAAACAGATCCAAAGTTTTGTCAGGCTGACTTCCTATTTTAGAAAGTACATAAGAGGCTATGCATAGATAGCAAGGCCGCTAACAGATTTGATGAGAAAAGATGTGAAGTTTGTCTTCGGGCCTGAAGAGCGACAAGCGTTCAACATTTTGAAGCAGAAGCTAACGAGTGAACCAGTACTGATGATTTTTGACCAGAAGCTGCATACAGAACCTCATTCAGATGCATCTAGCATAGCTCTAGCCTCTATTCTCATGCAGAAGAATGAAGAAGGAGAAATGCACCCTGTATATTACAGGAGTAGAAGGACGAATGACATTGAAAGTTGTTATTCAAGCTATGAGCTTGAGGCACTCGCAGTAATAGAAGGTGTGAAAAAGTTTCACCACCACCTCTTTGGCAGGTACTTTAAGATTGTCACAGACTGTGAGGCATTTGAGCTTACCTTGAAGAAGAAGGAGCTAACACCAAAGGTGGCTAGGTGGGTATTACTTCTCAGCGAGTATGACTATGATGTCGAACATTGAGCGGGATGCAGGATGCCACACGCATTTGCGCTCAGCAGAATCCCATATGTAGCAGTGGTAACATTGCACGAGAAGATCAGCCAGGCGCAAGAAAGAGATGAAGACCTCAAGGCTATAAAACAGCTGATTTTGACAGATGGCCAGTATAATGACTATTATGTGGAACAAGGAGTGTTTTACAAAGGTGATCAGAGACAACTGTGGTTCCCAAGCTAATGGAAAAAGAAGTAATCAAGCAAGTACATAGCAATGGTCACTTTACTATGAAGAAAATGAAAGAAGCAATAAGCAAAGATTATTTTATAAAGAATATGGACAGAAAAATCGAAGGAGTGATTAACAGTTGCATACCGTGTCTGCTAGCAACTCGGAAAGAAGGCAAACAGGAGGGATATTTAAACCCTATTGGAAAAGAAGGGACTCCGCTGCATACTTTGCATCTGGACCACATCGGACCGCTAACTGAGACACGAAAGATGTACAATCACATACTCACAGTAGTCGACGGATTTACTAAATTTGTGTGGCTGTACCCCACAAAATCAACGACTAGTGCAGAAGTAATAAGTAAGCTACAGTTGCACCAAGAGACGTTTGGAAACTCTGTACGTATC